GGTGTATTGAGGGTGAAATTTTTTTTCTGAGAGCAACTGAGTTGTACTTGACATTTTGGGGTCCCATACATGGAGTAGCTCTTCTAAAGGTCATGTACAACTTAGTTGCTTCGCAAAATGTCAAGGGCAACTCAGTAGCAATTGTAAATTAAAAGAGAAATTATATTTTACCCCCATCAGCCACATGGACTCTGAGGAAGTATCTTTGTTCAATTAATTGTATGAGGGTGAAGTGGAAAATTGTTCACTGATGTTGAAAGATTTTCCCCAACAGGCATTCAGCTCTTTGCATGATTTATGGATATAATTTTACTATTCATCTATCTACACGATGACAAGTGCTTATTTTCTTTTCTTGAGTTGTCTTAAATCAAGAACTCTGTCACTAAAGAAGACTGTAAATCCATGTTAATTTAACTATAGTTGTGGTGCTTAATGAACTTGATCTTTTCCAGTACAACAGGGAGAGAGAATTGGGGAGAAAAGTGGAGCTGTGGCTCAAGTGGTAGAGCGCTAGCCTTGAGCTGAAGAGCTGAGGAACAGCACCCAGGCCCAGAGTTCAAGCCCTATGACCAACAGAAAACAAAACCAAAAAAATCAAAAACACCCTCTTTAAACAAAAATGAATTCTTCTTATGACTGTCACTGTAAGATTATGTTTAATGCCACAGAACTGGGATAAAGAATCAGCTACCTATCTTTTTAATACAGTAGACCAACATGTGTTGGCTTTGCATTAATAAGTTTCATTTCTGTGGGGACTGGACCTTCTCTCTCATATATCATACTTCTCAAGAGCAGTTAGAAAAGTTAGTTATGGGCTGGGAAGTTTGCTCAGTGGTAGAGTGCTTGCCTTGCATGCCTGAGGCCCTGGGTTCGATTCCTCAGCACCACATAAGCAGAAAAAAGCCAGAAGTGGCACTGTGGCTCTAATGGTAGGGCACTAGCCTTGAGCTGAAGAGCTGAGGGACAGCTCCCAGGCCCAGAGTTCAGTCTCCACAACAGACAAAACAAAAAAAGAAAAAAGAAAAGAAAATAAAGAAAAAAAATGAGCTATTAGGGTTTTGTTTTCTTCTGTGTGGGCTCTGTCCTTCAAATTAATTTGTGAAATGTTAAATGTTTGAAACTGGAGAAATGTAAATTATAGGTTGATGTATTCTTCTGCTCATCCTCCAGGGTGATACTGAAGTTCTTGTTTTTAGCCCCATTGTGGTGGAATTTCTATTATTTGCTCCTCAGGAAATATTCATTATTTCCACTATGAATTCAGGACACTTAGCTTGGCACATAAGAATACCAATGGGCAAAGCCACATGAGGTTGGTCTCTTCCTTTATTGTTTTTTTTTTGGGGGGGGAGGAGTTATTCCTGGAGTTTGTACTCAAAGTCTCATGCTTGTTAGGCAGGTACTCTACTGTTTGATCTCATGCCTTCAGCTCATGTTGCTCTCTATTATTTTTTATGTAAGATCTTACTTTGTACCTGTGCTGGCCTGGGCCATAATCTGCTATTTATGCTTCCTATCATAGCTGGAATGACAGGCATGCGTCACCATTCCCAGCTTTTTCTGTTGAAATGGTGTCTTGAGAACTTTTTCTTTTCCCCTAGAACTGCAATTCTCCCCATGTCGGCCTCCTCAGTAGCTAGGATGACAAGTGTGAGCCACCACACCCAGCTCTCCGCCAATGGTTTGTATGGGTTTGAGGAAGGAAATAACTACCAATGAATACTGATTAAATAAACCTATCTGTGAAACCTATCTGGTGTCATGGGCACAGGCCTGGGGGACAGACTGATACTGGATTCAAATCCCCCTTCCTCCTCTCACTGAAACTCACTGATCATCAGTTCTCCATCTCTAAAATGACACCATCAGTGCCAACCATCCAGGATTAGAAATGATGGCAAGAGCTGCCTGATAATAATAATGGTGACGAGTGGTTTTAGTGAACTTGTCCTATTAGGGGACCTGTCTTCTATCTCCACTTCACCCTAGTTCTATAACCTATTTTCCTTAACTTCTCACCAAGCCAGAATTCAAGAAACCCCCCCCCCCAGATACTTTTTCTATGTTTAAGTTAGTTTGTAGAGGTCATGCTTTCTCTATATACTGAGAAGGGACAAATTAGAATTGTCACAAATTTAATGTAATGAGCAGATACTACACACTAGACACTGCAAGGAGCATTTGCTATTGTGACCTCTTTTGAAGGCTATAAATCTATGAAGTAGATACTGTAACTCTTATCCACAGTTTCCTATTAGGAAATAAAATCTCAGCTATATGAAGTTACTTTGCTTAGGTGATATTGGCTGGAATTTAATACAAATTTTTCTGAAAGCTGATATAGTTATGCTCTATTTCTGGTTCTCCTTTGCCTTGTTTCTTGCCAGTACTTTTTTTTCTTGAGTCTCTGAAATGGTAAACTAAGATTCTGCACCCTATATTCTTCTTTCACCCTAATGAGGCATCCTTCTCTTTTGGCTATGTTATACCATGGATATGCCAACATCTTGCTACCATTCTGTGTTCTGGCAAGAATCCGGGCAAACTAGTCTTCTCCTAATTGAATGGATGGTTTTCTGGGAAATGGTGGCAATTCTATTTAATAGATCCTCCTGAGCTGTGGGGTCGGTATGGAAAGATATGGCAAAAGACTTTAGTGTTGTGAAAAGCAAAGAACATCAGTAAAGAATTAGCCAATGTAGCTATCTCCTTCTAATGCCAAACACTAATCAATGGTGTAAAAGACAAAGGCCAGACCTTAGATCTCAGTGACAGAGAAAAGGAAGAGGCTCTTGGCCACCTCCTATAGTCTAAGTCTCGCTACCAATTGAGGGTGAGGAACAAATAACATACTTATTTTGTTTATTTAATTTCAAAAATTTCCAACAAAATTTCCAGTAAAACAAATAACATGAACAAATTAGATTGTCTAATTAAAAGAACAATATGTCTCATATGTGTTAATGCTAGGCTTAAGATGTATAGGTGAGATAAATAAATTAAAATGTTTTAGTACAAAGTCAAGAGTTTTAAAGTTTACATATTATCACAGCATGTTATTTGGAAGGACAGTTGCAATACTAGAGTTAGAACCTGAGACCTTGTGGTTTCTAGGCAAGTGATCTATTACTTGAGTTACAACCTGGGTATCTTTTGCTTTAGTTTAGTTTTCAGATAAGGTCTTGAACTTTTTGCAGTGGTAGGAGAATAAAGAGGCTGGCCTTGAAGAACAATACATTCCTACCTCATGCATAGCTAGGATTGCAAGTATGTGGTAGCATGCCTAGAGAAGATAAATTGAACCATTGCCATGTAGAGATCCAAGTAATTAATGCACAGAAGGACTCTGTCATTGGTACTTAATACATCTTTTATATAATTAAGAAATCAATGAGCACAGAGGGAAACTATTCCAATCCACTTAGAGAACTTGGGGATTGGTTGAAAGTCTAACGTAGTCATTGTCTTAAATTCCTCTGAAGTTCTACGAAATGAGACAATCAAATATAGTAAGAGGTCATTCATCTCAGCAAAGGACAGAAGGGGTAAGACATGGGACCCAAGGCACTATGGATTACAGGAATGACACATTGGGCAGGAAACAGGAGGAATAAGATGAATCTGTTCCTTCTGTATGATGAAGTTTCCACTCTTGTTTACTCTTCATCTCAGAGTGCTGGAAACTAGATGTATAAGTATAGAATTACATGTGGATCAAATTCTAGAAAAATTGAGAAGAACGGGAGGCTAGGGCTACACACAGCTAGCATTTTGGAGGCTCGGGTTGACAAAGCTGATTAGCTCCAAGCAGACTACCAGACAGCATACAACTAGCAAGCAGGCATTCCCTCGGGAATTTTGGAGCTTCATCCTCCACATGAAAGCCAAGAAAAGCCTAGGTGATGAGAGTGTCAAGCCTTACAGTCAGAACGAATGAATAACAACGAAGACAAACAACATAGGCAAGAGCGTAGAAGGAAAGCAAGGTCTAGACAAAACAAACTAAAAACAGAAACAAAAACGAAGTGAAACAGAAACAGTAATAAAGATTTTGAATTTTCCTTCTCTCCATCCTCCCCAAAGGGAAAAATATGTTATAAAAACAAACAAACACAAAGAAAAGAAAGAAATCTTGGAGGAATAAAACCCCAAAGATGAGACTTTCAGTAAGAAGATGGGAAGATAAAGCCCTAAAGCAAAAATAACACAAGATGGGAATTGTGGCATCAAGAATCTCCTTGGGAGGAGTACAGATGGTGGTGCATCGATTAAAAATAACTAGACCTAACAGAGTTTGCACATTGAATTATGCCTACTTTCTTTCTACAAGTATTTTGAATTTAGCAGCTTCATTTGAAGAGACTGAAGTCATGTGGTAATCTAGCAAGGGCCTAGGGATCCCGTTGATAGATATCCTAGAATTTCTCATTAAAGATTACTGCTTGGTTTTACAATCTACAGAAGAGTTGTCATTCACATTCTATTTTTACAGAAATATTTACTTGTTTGCTATAATTTACCATCATCATAGTAGAATACTGTTGAGTAAATATGTTGTTCATTGATAAACGGAAAATATATGTACTATACTTTTATATATAAGTCTCTGAACACTTTCTGTTTAGAGAATATGATGGCTTCTCTTGAGCATTGTAAGCACATGAGGGTTATGTTTCTTTTAGGCTGATTCATGGTTCATATTTAAATAATCATGTTCAGCTTCCTTCTTGTAAAAGTATGGAATTCTTTCAAATAGATTTTAGATACGTATGCTATGGTTCATGTACCCCAGATAATTTTAAGAATTATTCTTCTTAATAAAAAAACTTAGAACATATAACCCAATCCTTAATTTTTATTTCTTTATTCATCATGTTCTTAAAGGGGGTGGCATTTGCTAAAAAGAATGTGCTCATTATCTGACTTATGAAATGGTGACCCCTCTATACAGGACCTTTACAATAACAATAAAAATATTGACTTAAGAATGTTACCTTGAGCGATGTAAGGTGTTTTCTCTTCACTCGGAAAGATATTTACAGGTCGGGGTGTGGGAGCAGGAGGTCTGTTCATAATGAAAGACCGACTCCCAGTTTTCTTTTTTATACTCATATGGGCCAATATCATGTCATATTCATTGTCATCAATCTCAGCAAATGTGTATGGATCTTCATCCTCTTCCTGCTCCTTTTCATCCTCTTCCTCTTCTTCTCCTTTGGGCTCATCCCTTGTGTCCTGTTTTACGTTGAATGGATCACTCCAAATTTCCCTTCTTTCCATTTGGTCTTCTACAATTTTCCCTGCTTATGAAATATTTAGATAGCACTTTTCATTTAACATGCAATATTCTTGGTGTCCATCTGTCACTTTTGTGAGTTTCCCAAAGTAACTTAATCAAATCTCCTAGGAAATAATATGAAGTCTTATTCTTATCTACAGAAGACTAATTATAAACTACCCACAAAATTCCAAACAGAAAAATGAGCTGTATAATGTACGAACTTAATTTTCTATAGTTTACAATGGTCAATTTTGCTCAAAAAGACACTTTCAGGCATGGATTTCTTTGACAACATTAGTATTTTCCACATTATGCACATATTTAATATCAGGAAATTGAGTTATAAATCTAATCTAAACTTGAAGTGCATTGAAAATGTTGTTTTCAAGCATAATACTCTTAGACATTTTATTTATTCAAAATCATTTTAACTTTCATATTTCTTATGGTGTTGTTGCCCTAAGATTCAATTTCTTTTCAGATGACAGGTTGAATAGCCAAAGGTACCATTATTTGCTTTCCTAGCAGCTATTTTCTGGCTATGACAAACTGACCTTCAAAAAATGCCAATGAGGACTTCCAAGGACACTGAAAGTGAGGTTCATGATGTAAAAGACAGCATGAACATGGGCTTCAGGATTAATTCATTTGAAAAGGATAAAATTTCAGGCTTTACTATCTCTTGTGGCTTCACATGTAGTAAAATGTCTACATATTTTTATTATATATTTAGAATATATAATAAAATATTTTAGTAGTTGTTTAGAAGACAAAATGTATGAAATGCTTTGAATAATGAGTGAGTTAGAAAGGTGGCTGATTGCCCATGAGAGAGATTTTTGTTTGTTTCTCATTTATATCCAACTTGCCTTTATTTGACTAGTTAGAATCTAAACAAAGTACTCATTCTGTTTGCAGATGGGGATTTCAGTGGAAAACCTTATAAACTAAGAGAAATACAAATAATAAGGCAGAAAAAAGAATATCTTATAAGACAATTGAACAAGTGGTTAACCTATGAGGAAAGGTACTCTTTCAGTCACTTGAATCCAAGAAGCATTAGTTACGTTTGTACCTAGCATGAACTTCCAGATCAACATGACTTGCCTTCCCCCGATCCCCCATAGATCATGTGGCTTTGAGACTTTGACTTCGTGACTTCTGTTTGTCTGACAGCCTCCTGGGTGAAACTCGATTAAGTGTGTGGGAAATGCTTTTACAGTGCTTCATTTTTAGCAAAATGTGTCAACCACCTCACTTTTATGAGCCCATTTCCTGAGCTGCTAGCTCTCGCTCTGTTCCCACCCACCATTCTTCCCAACTCTTTCCAAAGTCAATGCTTGCACTAGAAATCACACATTTTACTTTTTATGTTCCAAAGTATCAGATTATACTTTTCATTGAACAGTAAAAATGAGCTATCTCATTTAAATTAAATGATTCAATTCTGTTAATTCCAGCTTTTGACACAACAGAGGAAAGAATTAAGCAGAAAAGAGATGGATAGCAGAATTGCAGGGTAGTTCTTCCTAGAAGTATTTTTTACCATCTAATTACAAACCATATGGTCAGGTGTCTGAACCAAAGACTTAGTCTCAGTGAACTAAGTTCTTTGTGTTATGATCACAAAGATCGTGTGAAAATGGAGAGAGAATGTGTTCTTTTTACAAAGTTTTGAATATTCCACTGGGATCCATATTCGTTTCTCCAATGATTATGTCTATGTGTTGATCCTTGGGAATGCTACACCCAAGGAATTGGGTAGATGGCCTTTCTGTTTTCAGTAGTTAGGGACAGATAGGATTTACTCTGAAGCAGTAATTCCTGAAGCCACAACAAGTCCAATTAAAAACCCATACAAAGTCCCTGGCAAAATGATTAGTGGCAGCTGCCAGTTTAAAGATGGACACTTTATCTTCCATTAGCAGCTCTATGTGTTGAAAACAACACCATATATAAAATGTAAAACTACAGTCCTTAAATACAAGCCACCAATCCTTCATTTTATCTTGTCTACTTGGTAGTTTTCAAGAGTCACATTTCTGGTCACAGGCACCTGGTGAGCACTAGGGAGAGATTAGTTCTCGACTACCTAAGCAACAAATGAAGTACAGAAATTTACGCTAGGGAAATACAATTTGATCTAGCTACTATAAGAGAGTTTAACTTAAAAATAGACTTCATTGCCTATTTTGATAATTGTGTAAAATTATTTCCACATGTAAAATTAGAAAAATGTATCTGCATTTTATTGTCCATTTACTGCTAACCTATCTTTCCTTTCCCACACAGATTTTTCTGTGCTCTCTTCATGGCTATCACTCAAGAGTCCACTAGAGCTTGACACATGACAATGAATGCCTGCTGATGAGTGAGTGAATCAGAATAGAATCCACTAGGTATTTCCCAATAAATAGTGTGCTTCAGCTCTAAATGGAGTGCAGAACATCCGAACTTGTATATACGGAGGTTACTCTGATACACTTGAGCCTTCCCTATGATAAAGCCTTCAAGGACATCAATGCTAAATGGCATGGCTTCAGAATTCCCCTCAGGAACAGTGTTTATGCACCTTATAGCTTTCTGGGATCCTGAAACTAAAATATAGCAATAAGCTGTGCACTGATGATGGGTGTTTACATCTCTTATCAATTTTTTGAAAGAACATTTGATGAATTTGGAAAGTAAGTGTAAAATAATGTTGAACAAAGTAGGAGGTAATTGGTGACATAAGACTGCAGCTGGAGCTGGGAGTTTCCAGGCTGCTGAATACTCCAAGCAGAGAAGTCCTACAAGGAAGCTGCTCCTCGTGGTCCCCAAAAGGACTAAATAGCATGCTCCCAACTCCCTCTCTCCCTCACCCAATTGTGCATCTGGAAACATATGCCATGACAGCGAAGTTAACTGGTCTACCACTTTGGCAGGGGATATCATGTTCCTAGACTTTGATCTCAGTGTACTCCATGACAAGCCCATTACCATTTTCCTATGGTTACTAAGTAAAAAAATGCCTAAGATCCTTTGCAAATCATCTGTTAATCACTGTAAACCATTAGCCTTTTCTTTCTGCCAGCAGACTAAGAGGATTTCTGAAATATGATACTGTTTACTACAGGATGCCTGACATTTGTAGTGAAATTTTTGCTCCAGAAAGAAGGAAAAAACAAGGAGGGAGAAAGAGAGGGGGAAATGGAATGAGGAGGAAGTGGAGGAAAGAAACAAGGGAGAAATCAATGAAGGGTGAAAAGAAGGGAGAAATGAATGAAGGGTGAAAAGAAGGCAAGAAAACAGGAAGGGTGAAAAATGGAAGGAAGGAAGGAAGGAAGGAAGGAAGGAAGGAAAGAAGGAAAGAAGGATGGGAGAGATAGAAAGAAGAAAGAAGGATGGAAGGAAAGAAGGAAGGAAAGAAGCAAGGAAGGAAAGATGGGAGGAAAGAAGGAGATGGTAGGCTTTTCTTACTTCATTTTCTTAGACACTAGTTAATAAACAGTAAAATGTAAAATTATGCTTGGTTTCAGAAGCTGATCATGTTTGCATAGATTTACTACTGCACTATATACTATGCAAGCCCATCAAATTCTGTTTTTTAAATTATATTTTTATCTTTAGTTGTTAAAAAAGGGTTACCATTCACCACATCAGTTTGTAAGTACATTGCATCATGATTGATACCAACTTTTTCATTATTCTCTCCCATCTCTTCCAACCCAATCCCTCTTTCAATTGTCCTAGTTTCTTAACACTACACATTGAATATTAGGACTGAGTTCTTCCCCACTTCCTGTTTTTGTTGTTGTTGTTTTGCATTTATACATACCCTGTATCTTGAAGTGAGGTCTTTCTAGTTGGGAGGCAGGAGATACAAGTCTTGGTGGGGGTAGAGGTGGTCTGCCACAGGTGAGTGGCTGTTGAGGATTGTTTTCTAGATTAATTCCAGGAATGAACACATACAAGTCATCATACTGGTTCTCAGAACTGTTGGTGTCAACTTCTGGTTGGCTGTGCTTTGCTTCTGCACTGGATTCATTCTCCTTTCCTTCCATTGCCCTTTCAGATGTCTCCGCTCCATTTACAGTTGATCTGTGTGCCTTCCTCTTTCCATGATGACATGCTGAGTACTGTGTGGCTATAAAAGATGAAGATTGTACAATTTCACTGGAGCACCCTCTCCATAGTTTATAGATTTTTAAAGAGCTAGTAGTCCAGCTAATCCTGTTGTGGCTCCATACGGTGGAAAACTGTCAACTATATAACTTTTACTATCTTTTTGAAAATTTAAAGCATTTATCCAATGAGCTTTATTATATTCTTGTTACAGCAGTAGATGACACACATGGATAAAATGATATTTTGATTTGGTGGAGTTGTCATTGAGCAGATTCATATACTTGAAAGCATTATCTATTTTTATTCAAAAATATTATACTATGAATATTACTTAGTCAATTATTAATATTTTTGATGGGAAGGCATTCAAATTACAAATAGTAGGTAATTTTCAGAAACTTAGAACCTTCATGTATAAAATGCATACTATTCTGAAATTTAATCAAATTCCTTCCATACAAAGAACCATGCTATGATTTATTCTTAATATTATATACAAAAGCCATTAGAACATGATAATTTGAAATTTGAAAATATTTATCCAATTTTCTTTAAAAGAATGTTTTTTTCTAAAAGAAGGATAAAAAATTGTGCTACCTAGAATGTGCCTATAAATCTACAAGTAAGCACATTACATGATAAAAGACAAATATATATTTGGATACGACAAATTACACAGAACTCTAGACATTCACACAATGAAGTCAAAGGAGGATATTCCTAGGAGACCACAAAAGCTCAATAGCTATGTGCATATGATCATACAAAATGATGCTTACTGAAATGAACTCCAAGAAATGGAAACAAGAGGTTTTTCCTTTGTTGCTGTTTTTGTTTCTGTACCTTTTGTCTTGTATGTAAGTTTATCTGTTTGGGGAAGAGTAAGGAGGCACACAGAAATGGAGGAACAATGGGTAAACTAACGCAGCAGTGATACTCACTAGATACTGTGTTGAAAATGAACTATACCACTTGCTGGGGGCTGTTGAGGGAAAAACTGGAGGAAAATGAGGGAAGAGGTGGAACTGTTAAAAAGAAATGTACATAGTTATTGTTTGACTTACGTGACTGTAACTCCTTTGTAAATTATCTTTACAAGAACAATTAAAAAACAAGTGAATATATATATATTTTTAAATCAAAGTGATTTTTTTGTTGCTTGGTATGTTTCTCTCCCACGGTATAGCCCCTGTTTTCACTGTATTTGATATTGGTATAATTTGGGGAGGGGAAGGAAAAAACAAATTGTTTAAATAGGGATACAGATTGACCCATTGCAACAATGAGATGTACAAGATGCTATGTTGAAAAATGAACTTTATAATTTAGTTGGGGGGGGTGGTGTTGGGTGGGGGTATGTAGCTGAGGAGGTGGGAGGGAAGGGATGGTAGAAGAAAAACAAAGGAGGAGGCAATAATGCTGGATAAGAAATGTACTTATTACCTTTCTCATGTAACTGTAACCCCTCTATACAGTATGTTCACAATAAAAGACTTAATTTAAAAAATCAAGGTAAACTTTTGGATCTTTCAAGCCAACTTTGGGACCTCTATAATGGAATGTGTGAACTGTTACTTTCAATGCAAAAACAGGCATTGTTTTAAATACTTGTTCAAGTAAAACATCATTTAAAAAGCCAAATAGCAGAGTAGAGAGAAAACGAATTTTTAAAGTGAAGGATTACATTATAGAAAATTTTGAGCCATAAGAGAAAAATTAGGCATAGGAAAAAAAATACTCATGCTAGTAATATGCATTATTAAATAGTATTTTGTTTTCTCTCTCTTTTTCCTTTAATGTGAGAAAAATGATACAGCTTTCAGTACTAGATGTGAACAAAGAGTATTTATAAGAAGCTGGTTTTCAAATGATCTCTCCAGACAGATTTCATCCATTTTTCCTTTCCTCCCACCAGAACACTGAGCCGCAAACAATGTAGTCCCAAGAAACATTTGACCGAGATGATGAAATGACTAGAAAGAAATTGTTGCTTGGGCAAGTAAAGGCACTTCACTATTTCTGTCGGGAAAATCAGTCATCAACTCAGAATTACATTCATGCTACCGAAAATTACTCACAGTCACACTTTGGTTTATACATCCACTATTGTTTGACACTAATGAGCTAATGACGTCTCCCTGGTACATGTCAAATGTACCTAACCTGGAATGCAACTCTGGAAAACTGGATTTTGTAAGCTCATGCTTTGAAGCCAGTGAGAATCTGCTACCATCTTCACTGGGTCTCTCATGCAAGGCTGAAGACTATAGCTTTATAACTATGAGAGTTCTCAATTTCAAACTGTAGGCAAGAGAATTAACTTTGCAAATAACTGAGATATATTCTCTTATTAAACGAAATTCTTCTGGGGATTAAATATCATGACAGATAGATGGTAAGTATCATTTGGGCCTTTATTATTACCTTCTATCATTTTTTAATTTAATTGTCAAGGTGATGTACAGAGGGGTTACAGTTACATACATGTTCAACAAGAAATGTAATCATTACCTTTATTATCATTATAATGTTAAAATTTGTAAGCTTAAAAGTTGTTGTGAATTTAATATTTAGTTTATGCGCATTCACATGCACGTGTGTGTGTGTGTGTGTGTGTGTGTGTGTGTGTGTGCGCTGCAATGTTTGAAGGAGTTGATTGTGCCAAAGTATGGATTATACAAAGTAGACATGAGAACCTATTAGATGATTTAAAGAATAGTGATTACTTCTTTCATGATAGAATTTCAACTATCACAGATTTTCTTTTTTTTTTATTGTGAACATACTGTACAGAGGGGTTACAATTACATGGGCAAGATAATGAGTACATTTCTTATCAAGCATTTCAGTCTCCTCCTTTGTTTATCCTTCACATCCCTTCCCAGCCTCCCCCCGACCCCCTCCAACCCTCCCCCTCCCCCCACCAAAGTTGTAAAGTTCGTTTTCGACATGACAACTTGTACTTCTCATTAATAGCTGTTTACTACTGGCATTTTGGACTGAGGAACTATTTGGTATATTGTAGAATGTGTAGTAGCATTCTTAGCATCTCTATTAAATAAATACCAGTAGTGACCTTCTCTCCCCAAGTCATGATGACAGAAAATAATTGTTCATTAACAAGTTGACAATGAACAGGCTTCCACTGAGAACAACTGTACCATGGGAATAAACCACTGAGAGCTAAATAGCAACAAAAGTGGTGCGAAATGGAGGAAGGCTAGCATATGCAGAAGGCAGCGTGGACAGTGTTATGTAACAGATTGAATATGGATGGAGGAGAAAGTAAAAAGGATAAAGGAGGCTAGATTAATTTTCTAACGGCCTCGACAAAGAAATACAGGAATTTTCACCTGCTGAGACTAAAAATCAGAAGGCGAAGTTGGTAGTGGTAGAGCTATGTGTATATGAACATATAGAATGATGTTTATTGAAATGAATTCCAAGAAATGGAAACAAGAGGTTTTTTATTATTTGGGGTTTTCTGTTTTTCTTCCTTTTCGTTGTTTTTGATTTCTCTACCTTTTGTCTTGTAAGTTTAGAAACGTACTCATTATCTGACTTATGTAACTGAACTCCTCTAGATGTCATCTTTACAATAACAGTTAAAAAAACAGAAATAGAGGGTATGCGATATCTATCAGAAATGCTGTTTGAAGATGTTGAACAGACCATTGTATGCTAATGAAGCCTAATGAATGCTGAATATGTTGTCAGACATTAGAATATATAATACATAGAACAGGGAGGTCTTTAAAGCATTTATTCTGCTCTTCTTGCTTCATTGCTTTGAAAAGTAAGGATTAGAATAACTGTGATTGTATTTTCATAAAACACAGTGTTGTCGCCATACAATTTTAGGGTAGGAAAACATGTGTTTGGTTATTAAATCCTGAACGTATCAAAAGTATTTCAATTGTCAATTGTAAAAGTATTTCTACCATGGTAGAAATTAAGTCATTCAGTTAATTATTTTTTTACATTCTTTAGTCATACTTCTGTAGCTGTATATTCATAGATTTCTAATTACACATATATTATGAGCTATATTCCATAATAGTAAAACTACATATAAATGTAACATATAGGAACACTTACAGGGTGAATATGTAGTGAATGAGATAAAATCTTCCTTATAGTCATTTTCTTGCTCATTATTACTATAAGCTTCTTGGATCTGTGAAAAATGAATATAACTTTCATTAGTGTGCATTAAAGTTCCTAAATCTTAATTTGATACCTGGAGAGATTAAAAACATAGTTTTAAAGTTTTATCAAATGTTTTACCTCTATTTTATGACAGATGTTGATTAGTAATTTTTATGTTGTCTACAAGTCATTAATGGTACACAGTGAAATGACTACAAGTGAGAAATGGAACTACTATAATAAAAAGTAAGTCTATTTAAAAATGAAAGAAAATCATCATGAAATTGAGGTGCAGTAAACAACTTTGAAATAAAATGGAATTCTACTGTTCCTTGCAGAAATTATGATTTTTAGCTCCTTTTAACAATTCTGTAGCTTTTACTAATTCAAAAAGTATTCTTAATTATATCAAGAATTTTAATACAGTGAAAGACAATGAAATTATAAGGTTGTTTTCTGTTTTTGAGAGAGAGAAAGAAAGAAACCAACTTTAACTAATTTATGTGCTTTTTGAAATCAGTTCTATTTTATGAATGCATTTATACATTCAGATCTCATCCTCTTGAGTAGCCAGGAATACAGAGGTGAGTCATTGCCACACAGCTACAAAAGCATTTTTATATGATATGCCTAGGATATCACTAATACATCACACTGCAATACCCTAAGTATTTTATTTCTTATTCCAATTTTACATTTAAGTTCTGGAATTTACTTCCATTCTGGATATTGCTATCATAGAAGAACAATATGTTGGAAATGATCTCTACAACCTGGGAGGGGAATGGGGGAAGGGAAAGGAGGAAGAAAATGAGGGAGGAGGTAACAAGTTTGACATGTATTGGCATGTATTATGGATATGTATATGCATATGTTTTCATTTCCTATTCTTCTGACATGAACAATAACACACCGGTTTGTGATTCAAAATTAAAGTTAGTAAGTGTTTGTACAGTCAATACAAAATACCACTGCATCAAAATACCTTAATCATTATTTTGTATTAAATATTCAATCAAATCAAATACCCAACTATGTGTCCAGTTGGAGGAAACCTAAATAGACGCCAATGAATTGAGTATGTTTCCAATCCCACAGACCAAAGTTAGTGAAGAGAGTCAGGTATATACATTTCTGTTGAATATGTCAAGAGCCTATTGCTTCCTTACTTTTTCTTCTGAGGCTTTCATTATTTCAGTGAGGGTCAAAGAGAAACACATGGGAAACAAACAGGCCGAACAACCAAAGGATAGCTTTGTCATCCTCACTGGGTTGGGCTGTTTGATTGATCTAAAATCAGAGGGGCAAGTGGTTCTTGAAATCTATGTCAGAAGCAATCATAAAATACCACTTACAGACCTAGCAATTTCCTACAAAAATTATACCCTCCTGTTGTTAGATAATAAATGTTATTTGACAAATGAAACCAAAGACAAACCTTTCCAGTTGATATCAGTATCAGCAAATATGTGTTATTTGACAAATTTAACAGAAACATCCCTAGATGTCTATCCTCATCTATTCCCAGTAGGGGGTTTATGTGGTTGAGATAATCCCAGACATCCAATGTAGACTTAGAAGAGTTGGTTCTTATTGATTAACATACTGAAAACATGAAAGATTGATCAGTAGAAAAGGTAGGCTGTGCCTTCAATGCAGACAGAGTAGGAGAGTAGTATTTTTAACCTCAAAACTTCAATTTGAAAGCAGGTTGAATTTAAAAGTTATTCCTGTGGGGAAAAATTGCAATAGGTAAAAGTATACAAAATCACTTTCATTTTTTTTGTACCAGTATCAGGCCTTGAACTCAGCTGTCCTTTAGGTTTTGTTTCCTCAAGGCTAGCACTCTACCACTTATACCATAACACCATTTCCAGCTCTTTGCTCATTAATTGGAGATAAGAGTATGAAAGATTTTACTGCCTAGACTGGCTTTGAATCATGATCCTCAGATCTCATCCTCTTTGGCAGCTAGGAATATAGAGGTGAGATATTGCCACACAGCTACAAAAGCACTTTCATATGCTATGTCTAGGATATCACTAATACATCACACTGCAATACCCTAAGTATTTCATTTCCTATTACAATTTTACATCTAAGTTCTGGAGTTTACTTCCATTCTGGATATTGCTATCATAGAAGAACAATATGTTAGAAATGATCCGTACGACTTGGGAAGGGAATTGGGGGAGGGAAAGGAGGAGAAAAATTGAGGGAAGGGGTAACAAGTTTGACAAGAAATGTGCTCACTACTTTACTAATTTAACTGTAACCCCTCTGTACATCACCTGGACAACAAAATAATTATATTTAAATAAAGAAAAGTGTCTCATTAAAAAAGAAAGAAAAAAGCCCCTGAGCAATACACAATTTTAATGAATGATTTTCTTATTAAAAGTCACCATTTTCACCAATCTCACTAGTCAGACTCCATTCAGATCGGTTATCAGATAACTGATGTTACTCCATTGACCTCTACTGAGGACATTGGAATACATACCTATTTAATGAACATAACTGCAGACCAAGCCATGCATATAAGGCACCAAAATGAATTAAACGTTATGGTAGAATTATTTGACAAGTGGACAATAGGACACACTTGTACAAAGCAAAATTGCAGTGCATTTAAGGTAACAAATAAAAGGGAAAGCTTTTCTAGCAGAAGAAACAACATTGTTATTAAAGAAATGTGTTTCCACACTTGAATATAAAATAAAAGTAGAAGAGAATCAATAAGAACAATAAGTCCACTTTGGAGGGAAAAAACCATCATATTGTGAAATCTGAAAGTTTTAAACTTGTAATGATGAAATAAACTTCCTTTTGTGGGGTCCATAGGTGAGCTGCCCTGGGTACTGCTATTTATATTTTATAAATATTGTACAGTGAACCTCATAGTATGTCACTTGGCCTCTAGTAGCAGATTACTCTTTTAAAATTTCAGATGATCTGCCAATTGGATTTTAGGCACTGGTGAAAATAATTCCTAATCTCCATGGTTGTAGCCTAAATGAAACCAGGACTGATCCAGTAGAAATATCTATTATCTAATATCTATTTTATTATTTATTTATGTATTTATTGCCGGTCAAGGGGCCTGAACTCTAGGCCTGGGCGCTGTCCTTCAGCTCTTCAGCTCAAGGCTAGCGCTCTACCACTTGAGCCACAGTGCCACTTCCAGTTTTTTCTGCCTGTGTGGTGCTGAGGAATCGAACCCAGGGCCTCATGCATGCAAGGCAAGCACTCTACCACTGAGCCACCTTCCCAGACCCTATAATATCTATTTTAACCTGGAGGCAACACCATGAATGTGGATACTTGTTGGAAGCTTAAATAAGTTTGTCTGGTGTTTTCACCCTTCAGCTTGAGTATCGTATGCTTTTGAGAAGCATTCCTCTGGTTTAAATAGTCATTATTTCCAAAAGATAAAGGCATGAAGTTGATGCAAAGGATGGCTTCCCAACAGAAGATGTATTACATTTAAAACTTTAAGTAAAAACAAAATTCATATGAAAATAGATGGAAGATTTAATATTACTCATTTTGCCTGAAACTGAGTGAAGCTCTGTAGAAAGCAGCAAAACTTATCACCTCCAAAGTTAACACTGGGGAAAAAATGTCATCTGGTTTTCTAATGTTGCCATTCACATTTAGTCCAGTTACTCAAACATTTTATTACTTTTTATGGATCATATAATTAAAACAGCAAGATAAAGATCAACTTATCTCATCTGTGATTTTCATTTATTAACATCCATGCTAAGTAATGAATAACAATTAAACAGTACATTCTGTGTTGGTGATATTTTGAAGTTTTATTAAAATTTATGCCTTGCTAGTGTATTAAATTTAACAAAATAAAGCCATATCAACTCAACTTAGGCAACATTCACTTTCTAAGGAATTATATTAATGGCAAAAAGGTTACTTGTATTTTCTTATTTTAGATTGCTTATTTAGAACCTACTAAATATCAGAAACCAGATTAGGTAATGGAACAAGAAAGAACAAGAAGGAATAAGTTGAGCCAGGCATGGTGACACATACATGTAATCCCAGATATTTGGGAAGATGGTGGTATGAGGCCGTCCTAAGCAACAAGCTAATGGTACATGTTTATAATCCCAACTACTTAGGAGTTGGAGGCAGGAAGATTGTGGTAAGAAGCCAGTCCAGAGAAATCTTGCAAACAAATGAAAGCAAAACAAACAAACAAAAAAAAGTTCTGGAAGTATGGCTCAGCTGATACAATCATTGTCTATGAGGTGCAACTCCCAGAATTCAAACTCCAGTTATCACCACCACCACCAACCAAAATCCCTCCCCTCAAAAAACAAAAAACAAAAGAAGACCCAATAAATTAAACTTTTCTGAGAAAACTCAGATACATTTTTATCATGCTTATGATAGATGTAATAATTTTATCAAATACAACTTACTATATAATACACACTGTTCTACACTTATATAAACATTTAGTTCTCAAAACAACTTTAGGTTTTGTATTATTATCGTCATTAAAATAGTAGAGAAACTGACATTATAGGATCATTTGTCTCTTCTTTTTCTTTGTGGTAGTACTGGGATTTGAACTCAGATTTTCATGCTCTCTAGGCAAGTGCTTTCTTTCTTGAGCCATGCCTCTCATTCCACAGCTAGTTTTTATATTGGAGACGCCAAACAATAAGGAAAACAAGTAAAGAAGTATGTAAAGTAAGAGCATGCCAAGTCACCTAAGAATACTACAAAATAGGTTGTAAATATAGGAGATATTGTTCACAAATGTTTTCAAGAAACTCACAAACTTCAGAGTGGTGGCACTTGAGAGACCACAGAAAGATGAGAAACCATTCAAAAGCAGAAACTGAAGCACCCTACGTAATAAATAACATAATGAAACAACATAAATGTCATAATAAAAATAATTACAGTGATGTAGAGATGTAGTGATGTAAGTGGAATTGGGAGACAATAAGTTATCTAGCTTGCCACGAGGGCAGGGGCAACAGGTATTTGTGTATG